CATCCTATACATAAGATGCGTAACTTACAAGGGAACGTCAAAAACATTTTAATATATCACATACAAAGAGTAAACAATTTTGGATTGTTTACAGGATCTCTTTCAATCCCTGTTCATACAAAAAAAAGTGAGTCTAAAAACATATACAGGGTTGTTCGCCACATACGACACGGGGTATTGTAACTAAACGATTATATTTTTACAAATTTCAAGTTTTGGGTTCGATGTAGGACTATTAGAGGTACAATTTAAAAATAATTTTACAAGATACAGAGTATCCCAAATAAGTAAAAAATATCAAAGTTGTAGTTTTTTAAATGGAACACCCTGTATATTATTACATTTTTAGTTTCTACGATTAAAATAAAGGTAAATTTGATTAAGGTTTATTATACTTCAACCTTACCGTTTTTGAAATATTTTCAATTTTGTGAAATTGCAGTAAAACTTTTAAGGCTTCATTTCTCCAAGGGTATCAAAGTTTTTTATACTAAATATTTACTGAAGTTGATTTATTGATCAGTTATTGTGTTGCAATAATAAAAATAATACTACCTTATACAGAGTGTCTAAAAATTTATTTTAAATAATTTCTAGCTTTAAACGCCAATAAGTTCTTTAATTTAAATGGAATGCCCTGTATATTTTAGGAGAATCAGATGCACAATTTAATTTTCTATCAAATTGTATTATACCATTTTTTACCTATCCCTACAAGTTTTCGTAGAAAATGCATTTTCTTATAATTTAGACCTCATTTATCGATATACCCATGGAATATTGACATTTGAGATTGTTTTTAAAGCAACAAATGTACAAAATGTACAGGCTAGTAATATTATCGTTTTTAGCAAAACAGCCCATTTGTATGCAAAAAGAAAACTATTTAAATCTTTATAAAAGAGTATACAATTAATTAAATATAACACCATTATTTCCGCCCATATACTAATTAATTACATACTTAATTGTGTTCGTTAATAAATTATTCTAAATAAATGTGGATTTGAGTCAGAAATCAATATAATAATAAGTTATCACAATTAAAGTCTCTGTTGTTACAAATAAGCATTTATTAAAAAATGAAATATCATTTTTAAGGTGTTACTTTTTATCACACTGTCTAATACCCATACGAAATTCAGTTTTTTAGTATTTGGAGCAATTATTATTAATCAACGCAAACAGTCAGTTCATGTAGTTTGAATACTGGAATCATATTAATTGGTCCTCTTTAACAAATATTTAAACAGTTTTTTTAATTTTTTTAATGAAATAAACGAATTATATCGACAATATTAGCATCTGTACTCTTTAAAAATTTGGTACATCTTTAAAAACAATCTGAAATGTCAATATTCCACGGGTATATTGATAAATGAGGTCTAAATTATAAGAAAATACATTTTCTACGAAAACTTGAAGGGATAAGTAAAAAATGGTATAACACAATTTGATAGACAATTAAATTGTGCATCTGATTCTCCTAAAATATACAGGGCGTTCCATTTAAATTAAACAAGTTATTGCCGTTTGAAGCTAATAATTATTTAAAATAAATTTTTAGACACTCTGTATAAGGTAGTATTATTTTTATTATTGCAACACAATAACTGATCAATAAATAAACCAGTAAATATTTAGTATTAAAAACTTTGATACCCTTGGAGAAATGAAGCCTTAAAATTTTTACTGCAATTTCACAAAATTGAAAATATTTCAAAAACGGTAAGGTTTAAGTATCATAAACCTTAATCAAATTTACCTTTATTTTAATCGTAGAAACTAAAAATGTAATAATATACAGGGTGTTTCATTTAAAAAAATACAACTTAGATATTGTTTACTTATTTGGGACACTCTGTATCATGTAAAATTATTTTTAAATTGTACCTCTAATAGTCCTTCATCGAACCCAAAACTTACAATTTGTAAAGATCTCATCGTTTAGCTACAATACTCCGTGTCGTATGTGGTGAACAACCCTGTATATATATATATTATACAGGGTGAGTCTTAAATAAGTGCAAATATTTTAAGGCTGGTAGATCTCGATAAAGAAACATATTTTCTCTTTGCCGTTTTTCAAATAAGTCCAAAATAACCGAGTTAATTTGCTTTGAAAAAAAATATATATTTTTTGCTTAAATTTTGAAAACCACTGGATCTTTTCTGGGTTATCTTTCTTGTAAATTTAATCTACTACCTATGTTGCCGTATTATTCATAGTATATTTCTATGGTAACATAATTCTGATTCATTGAATTCAATTGACGGGCATTGTTGAATGACGGATCTCTTGACATTCTAATAACGGACTTTGTGTCACAATGACAGCCGTCTGCACACTTTATACATAGCGTTTTATAAAACAAAAAGTCAAATTCATTTAAATACCTCTAGGCGATCTGTGTGCAGAAAAAAATGGAGAAAATTTCAAAGAAAAACCTGAAAAGATATGCAACGGTCAAAACCTTTCTATTTTGCTATCGGTTTTTAACCCACGTCTGTTTCATGACCCAGTTAGCGTTCATGAATAAACAATGACGTGCAATAATTTTACGATATCGTTGTCCGTTTACGATCATTTTGTGAAAGACGATGGATGATCAAATGAAGACTTAAGTTTTATTACTTTGTTAAAAAGTCTGTTTTTTTTTCGATTCTTGTTAGGAGACTGCAATATTTTTTATCTGAACTGGATTCAGAGATTTCCCTTGACTTTTTTAAAAAAAAATCAAATTAAAAATGAAATTTTGAAGGTGAAAGTTACATAGATTAGTCTAAAAACGTGTTGAAAGATTCACCAGGGTATTTATAGGTTATCACTTGAATATTTTTCTAAAAAAAAACATGAGTGCCTCTTATTTTTTTTTGATCAAGCGTGAAAGCTCTCAAGACTAGTTACGCCACTGACATTGAGGAATATTATCGTTTATGTAGAGAAAAGAAAGATGCTACTGCAGGTAAGATTTTGTTCCCGCAAAAGGATAATTTATTCTATAAGGGTCGTTCAAAATGTAGGTATCTATAATTATGGTACACTAATTTAGTTATGACACTAATTCATTCTTTTTGTATTTTATTACAGTAAAATACAGGTAATATTCAATTCAGGTTTAAAGTAATAAATATGAACCATAATTTGGGTTGGGTATTTTTCTGATAGATATTATAACCATGAGCAAATTAAAAAAAAATGGAAGTCAAAATTTTAGAAACCTACTTCAGTCTTTATTATAGTGTATAAAATTAAGAGAGTTTCACCTTCTTTCTTCTTTGCCATTTACATCTTTCATATTTTTTCTACGGCACTGTTTAAAGTGTTGTAATTTGTAATATTTCAAAAAACTTCCAGAAATAAATCAGCTACAAAGGTACATATAGACATAACTTCAAGTTTTTGGGATACATATGAAATGATTTTATTTCATAATAATTTTTGCATTGTTAAAACCTACTCCGTGTCCTGTGTTCCATGAATGCTGACAAATCTTCGTTTTGTTAAAATCGCCCTTTCTTAAATAACCTTTATGTTCTTTAATTCGAACATTTAAGTCCTGATATTATCGCAAAATCGTTAACCCAGATATATCATTTTAGACATATTCAAGATCATAAAATAAATAAATAAACCTTTTTACTCAAAATTTTAGTTTTAAAAGCAATTTTTCTATCGCCTCTCAAAGCGTAAATTAAGCAAAGATATGTTCTATTCTTGTACTGATATACAGTGTAGTAAAAACTTAACAGATTTACACAGACGCCACACACTGTTAAGATGCTTTACCAATATTTATATAAGGTTCAACCTTGCTAGTCGTTCTGTGTTTTCTCAAATTTTTTTTCAGCATACTAAAATAAAAAGAAGATTCGTTTTCTTAACTTTCATATAATAGGTTTCTTAAATCTTGCAATTAGAAGAAGTTAACCCTTTAATATAGCATTCTAAAAATTTATTTTTTATGCAACTTTTGCACATGTTCATAATTTATGTAAAGATAAACTTCATTAGGAATCAAAATTCTATTATTTGTTGCATGTTTCGTATATACAATATTATGTAAATTTATACAGGGGGGGGGGGGCTATGCGTGAAAATAATTTGAATAAGAATTTTAGTTTTTCAATCGTGCTTGGCGTGCTAAGGAAACTAGGTAATAAATTTATTTTAAAAAGGAAGTAACCGTTTCCATGTGTACTTCCTGCATTTCTTTTTTGTATAAGCCTAACCCATATAATATTTCAAATCACAGTAGACCAGTACATTTTTAATTAATAAAATAATATGCTGTTATACATAATAAATTAAAAAAATCTACTTTTTTTCAAACGTCACAAAAGTTTTAATTTTTGCGACGCGATTGACAATATAAAAAAGTCATTTTAACGCCTAGGCATAAAAGTGCGAAAATATATTATTAAACTGACATAAAGTGTCAAATTCAACGAGCGTAACCATAGTTTCTCGATATATAACTACATACAAGGTATGACTTTGAACTCTTTTTGTATTATTTGAAACGTTTGAAATTGTTTAAAACATTATTTGAGCCGTATGAAAAAAAAAGGCATGTTCTCTTCGCAATAAAAATGACTTATTGTGCCTCGGCTGTATGTCAAACGTACAGCCTCTGTACAGCCAAACCAAACCACAGAAAGTGTCATTTTTACTCCCAATAAAACAATATACTATTGAATTAAAATGTCAAATAACTGTCACTTTTGTTATACAAGGGATCTCTTAGATAAGTGCAAGTATGTTAAGTTGGAATATATTTCCACCCAAAAAAGACAAAATGGGTGTGTTTTACATATTTACTCATATGACCTCGAAATTATGTTTTTCTCGTGTCCCCCATCAAAAACTAATTGGGGTATTAAAAAACCCCATGGGGTACTAAACAACCCCACGTCATCCCGACCGGGGTACAAAAATACCCCACGTAGAAAAACGCCGCGAGCAACGAAAGGTTAAAAAAACAAAAACAGGTACTCACCGGCGGTGGTTCCTTGCGTCTGCGCCTTCCTCTTCACCTTCTCCTGTCCCTTTTTCACCCCCAGCCTGAAGCTGGCCAACCGCTGCAGGAATCCCCCCAAACCCGACCTGTTGTTCTTCGTCGAGGATTTCGCGTCGCGCGTCGACGACCGCGGCATCGCGTCGCCCTCGCCGTCCATCCTTCCGACGACGTTCGGCTGTTTCGCGACGTTCGACTGTCTCTGGCGTTCCACGTTCGTTTGTTGTTGATGTTGAGCGGTGGCGGCGGGCCGCGGTTCGTGGCCGTAGTAGTGGTGGTGGTAGGGGTGTTTGCCGGAGCCGGACGACGATTGCAGCAGGCTATTTTTGCTGTCCGCCGCGCCGCTCGAGTTCAGCAGTTTGGCGGTGTTGTCTGTGCGGAGGGAAAAAGAGAGAAAAAAAGCGGTGATGCCGAGTTTACGGAAATTTCACTAAATTTAGGGAAAAACGCAAAATTTCCGAAAAATCATCGTTAACCTAAAATTTAGTAAACCCAATACAAATTCACGTCAAACAAAAATATAGAAAAACTCCTCTTCAGTCAGCTTAAATAATTTATAACTGTTTTTGAATTTATAGTTAATTAACGGTTAAAAGACGCCCAAATTGAATTTTTAATAATATCTCAATTTTTTCAAATGGAACAAGGGTGGCACATTTTTTTACGAATAATTTGCTATCACACACTTGGTATTTCGAGTCAAATTGTCGTTCTGAACCGCATGCATATAGGTAAACCATATGCGAAAATGTCAAAAGTTGACATATGATATGTCATTCTATTCAGAGTGTCATTTGCTATCGAATAAAGAAATATACCGAGGGTGCCATTTAAAAATCAAAATTTGTAGTAATTTTCTTTGAAACTGGAAGTGATCAAAAACAATTGAATACGTCAATCAATCCTAATTTATGTCATATACTAACATACCAAATCTGTTTTTTTTTTGGAAAAATAAAAAAGTTATAGGGGTGAGCCTGAATTGAGGTTGAAAATTATTAAGTCAGCGAAAATGTTCAACCAAATGTGACCCATCTTTAAGAAATAAAATTTCAAGAATGATGGTGGTGATGCCAAGTTTCGGAAAATTTCTCTAAATTTAGGAGAAAACGGAATATTTTAGAAAAAATGTCTTTATTTGATTATTACAGAGCCTGGATACATAGAAACTACTGAGTATATAACGATAAATATCATGAGGCAAGCTCAAAAACTGCCTCTCAACCGAGAGATATAATAGATTTTCAAAGCATACCTAGTGATCAGTTAGAAATTCTCTTACCAGTAGTGCTGTTGTCGTCGTTCAAGCTATTTTGACTGAGAGTTTTCAAATCCAACTGGGTGTGCTTGTACTGAATACCATCCGCATCAACGTAAGCCTTGATGGTACAACCGTCCTTATCTTTCTTAACCATTTGGGAACCTGAAATAAATTCAAATAATTTGAATTAATAAAAAATTTCAAAGAAAATGTGTCATGAAAATGATTTATTGATGTTGTAGGAGATTTGAACCAATTTGAACACCCAACAGTTATTATTTTATGTTTTTGTGACGTATTTTTGAAACAATATGCAGTGTGGAACAGAAATAATTTTGATTTGTGTGCATTGCTCTGTGGAGAAAATGATTTTTTTATTAACAAATCAATGAGTCTAAAATTTCTAGACCATTCTGTTAAGGTATCCTAATATTATAGATATACAGGGTGGTCCGAACTGTATTCCGGAAACTTCGGCAGCATATTCTGCAGATAAAAATAAGAAATAAGTCAAAAAGTTCGTACAAATGCATGTTCTAAAATGCTTAGTTTCGGAGATACAGGGTGTAGAAGTTTCATTTTTATTTCGATTTTTTCCAAATAATTTCTGAAGTACTGTCAATAATTGGATGAAAATTGGTGTCTGGGAGTTTTTTGACACGAAAAATTTGATTTTGATGTCAATATGACTCCTACTAGTAGAGGGCGCCACCTACATATTTTTTAACTGGTTTGGAGAGTAATAACTTTTCTTCCGTACCTGTATAAAACTACCGTGTAAAAAATATACATTTACGACGTTTTCCACGTGAAAAAGGTCTCTTGGTAAAAATCGCTACGAGTAATGGTTTTCGAGATATTTAGAATCGAAATTATCAATACCTGTCATCATTGACATAAATTAAACACGTTGACTAAATAGTTATTAGACTGATATCATAAATTTGAAATGTTTTTGTGCTAAAAGTTTAACAGAAACTGTTTTATCGTCATTTTTTGCAGAAAAATTAATAAAATAATGTCATGTATTGACTATTTCCATTCTAAATATCTTGAGAACGGTTGCTCGTAGCGATTTTTACAAAGAGATATTTTTTACGTAAAAAGTCACAGAGATGTATATTTTTTCACTCAGTAGTTTTATACAGGTACGGACAAAAAATTATTGCGCTTCAAAACAGTGAAAACACATGTAGGTGGCGCCCTCTACTAGTAGGAGTCATATTGACATCAAAATCAAATTTCTCATGTCAAAAAACTCCCAGACACCAATTTTTATCCAAATATTGATGTTACTTCAGAAATTATTTAGAAAAAATCAAAATAAAAATGAAAGTTCTACACCCTGTATCTCTGAAACTAAGCATTTTAGGACATACATTTATATAACTTACATTATATAACTTTTTTACTTATTTTTATCTGCAGAATATGCTTCCGAAGTTTCCGGAATACAGTTCGGACCACCCTGTATATTATCACCTCATTATTTACAAATTTTATTGTAATCGAATTTTTATAGCAATCATCTTTATAACAAAGTTAGGAAAAAATTTGCTTTAAAAATACCAAAACCAAACATTAATCAACGAAATAAAAATAATCTTACAACGTGTATATCATGGGTTTGCTGCAAAAACTCACAAAGTTAATATCTGCTAATATTCTATTAAAATTTCATCACACCCATTATTCAATTTCAAGGAAAACTATATCAAACATTATGAATTTGTATGTCTGAATTTTTTAAAACACTGGTTTTTGTATAAAACAGAACAGTTTTACAGGTTGTCAAATACAGGATGATATGCACAGACTTCGTATTATATCACTAGATATCATGCTATATTTGATAAGTTGTATTTTGAATGATATATGTTTATTTTATTGATGATAATTTACAGTAAATTTAGCTTATATTAAGCATAATAGTAATTTAATCAATTTTAAACAAAAGTTTTTTAAACAGAGCTTACTACCACACTTTATTTTCATGACCTATATACAGGGCGCGTCTTAAATAAATGCAAATATATTCAGGGCTGGTAGACCTCGACAAAAGAAACATATTTTCTCTTTGCCGTTTTTTTTTAAAAGTCCAAAATAACAGAGTTATTTTTTGCTTAAATTTCTTCTTCTTGTAAATTTAATCTACTACCTATGTTGCCATATCAAAAAATTATGTTTTTAGCTAAAAAAATTTCTAAAATTTTTCTAAAAAAAAATTTCTAAAAAAAAAATTTCTAAAATTTTTTTCAAAAAATTCCAAATTTTTAGAAAAAAATATAATCGTGTTTCTGGGGTCGAAATATTCTACCCCTAAAAATATTCGCGCTTATTTGAGACTCACCCTGAGTTGTTGCACTGACAAAACCATAAGATGAGCTAAGAAAATAATGAAACCCTCTGAGAATAATGCAGTATGATAAAAAAATGGCGTCACACTGACCTTAGAAATGACTATCAACAAAAAATTGTCACTTATAATATCACAAGAGCTTAAATTATTTTCGGAAATTTTTTTGAGGGCACGAATATTTTGAAAATTATCCCGAGTCGAAGACGAGGGATAATTTTCCTAAAATATTCGTGCCCGAAAGAAAATTTCCAGGAATAATTTAAGCTTGCGTGGTATTCGGTAAGAAAATTTCACACCTAAATTTGAAACAAAAATTTTAATCCAACATGACATTTTAAAATAATTTCAATTTGTTAAGTTGGCCAAGGTATTGCTAAAACTCAAATGGGTAATATTTCAATATATAGACATTGTAGTTCATTCACATTATGATTGTAGATCTTATGTTTACCTTTTCAACTGTCAAAAAATTTCCGGAAATTTTTTCAGTTGCCATGGTAACTAGTCAACATTAAAGCATGTTATTGGTTGAAAAGTAGCGGTGTGAAATTTTCAGGCAAATCCCTATATGTGAGTGATTTCAAGATTTGACATATACATTTCTCAAAAACTAATATTTTATTTAGAAAAACAGTAAAAGCTTCTAATCCCAAATCGATTTTCAAAAAATTTACGTGTGATTTTTCAGTCAACTTTCTACTATTTTTCTTGAAGTTTGTATATAAATTTTCAATAAAGAAATCGGCGATACACAGAGTGTAAAGAAATACTGTACCTAGTTTCACAGGGTGATTTCACGTGAGCCTGCCCGAAGAGTTACAACCCTTAAAAGGGTAGACAAAAATAATATATTTTGTTTATTTTTAAGACCATTTGGTGAACCGTTTTGATAATATAAAAAATTACAAGATATGTTTCAAGTGATGGCTGTAAGGGCTGTGAAGACCTTCAATCGCTACTTCCTCACGAAGCATCTTATGCCGGGTCCAGACCAAGCAGACAAAACAATGACAAGACAGAAACAGTCATGTTTTACGACAAAATTGCGTCAAATTCAATACATTTATGCGACATTTTTGTCTCAGTTTTGTTTTGTTTCAAAATTCGGAGACTTTTCAATGTCCCGTCTCGAGTCGGTAAAGATCAAAGTGTCTATACAGGGTGGCCCATCGAAAACGTTCCGCAAGGCATAACGGCCAGGGTAATTTTTTTTTCAGAAAATTCAAAAACACGTCAATTTTGTTTGTGAGGGGGCCAACTTTTGCCCCAAAAATTATTGCAAAATCTTCAATCTTCTATATATAATTACGATAAATTCCTTCGACCAATTTGCAGTTTTTTCTTATTATTTCTAGATGTTTACGCATTTTTTCACTTGCCACAAGGTTGAATGATCAGGTTAGGTAGAGTGTATTTTCTTTTTGAACGGTGTAGTTAATCGGCACAACTGTCGGTACTGGGCTGAGGACAACCCCAGGGGTTTTCACGAGGTGCACACACAAAACCCTCAGAAATTGAAAGTGTGGGCTGGTATTTTTAGAAATTCTATTGTGTGAGTCCTTTTTTTCTTCCTGGAAACCTAACAGGTGATATGAACTTGGATTTACTGGAAAATACCATCGACCCAGCCCTAACTGACATCATATAGAACAATCCTGGATACGTTGAAGCAGAACTAATATTTCAACAAGACGGTGCACCTCCACATTACTCTCAAAATGTGCGTAATTATTTAAACAATAACTTTCCCGTTCGGTGGATAAGACGAAGGGGTGCAATTGAGTAGCCTCCCCGGTCACCCGACTTAACTCCTTTAGACTTTTTTCTATGGGGACACATAAAAAGTAGTAGTGGGAACTATCGAATGAATACTATAGAAACATTCGATAGTTGCAATTCATTCGAATAATTCGATAGTTAGTAAGAAAACATTCGTTGAAAACTATTCGAATAAAAATTATCGAATAGATCCGTCATCTGCCTTGAAATATTGTATTCTAGTAATTCGGCAGCAAAAACCATTCATTTATAAAATTCATTCATTTATGAAATTCATTTATTCGTCAGGATCGATTATAATAAAATATTAACTGAATTTTAGTTGTCGCCCGGCGACGTAGGTTTCTTTCCGAGAAACCCGACAGCTATGAAAGAAGCCGGCATCTTTGATTTTTTGCGGAGTCAGATATAGATAAGGACACATTATTTTTTTTTATTGAGGTGCTAGTATTTACACAGAAAATACATTATGAAGGGCGCTGTTGCCATATTTTGGTATTAGTTGATATTAGCAAAGAATATTATTGTTTGGCTTTAGTTAGTTAGGGATAGTATGTCTATATATTCTGCTTTTTTTTATTAATATTTTGTTGTTACACTGCAATAATACTTGTTATTTTGGATGTAGGAAAATGATTTTTAATGTTTTTAAGCAAAGACTGGTTTAATAAATAATAATAACAGTAATAATTTGTTATACCTATTAACAACAAAATTTAAAATCATTTAATATAAATATTTTTTTAAGTAGTAGCAAAATATAAACAACAAATTAGATGTCAAAATTATTTATATTAGATCCTATTTAAAAATAATATAGTCTCTAAATTTTTTGTGTGTGGCAACGTTGGTTTATTAAATAATAATAATTACAGAACTAATTTGTTATATTAACAACAAATTTTTAAATCATGAAATATAAACATTTATTAATTTTCTAAGCATGCAGTGTAATGGAAGGAAAATATAAATAAAAAATTAGAAATCAAAATTATTTATATTAGGTGCTTTATATTATTATTTAAAAATTATATTTACTTTTACTGGCATTTACTTTAAAAAATAAATGAAATATTTCTTCGCAAAAAACTACATGTAAGAGAATTAGCATAAACAAAGTACAAACATCGTTAACTTTTTTTTAAATTGGCACGTGTAAAACTTCTAATTTTCTCACCCCATAGTTTGAGTTCGATAACCCCATTTACTTAACCACATTACTTAAATATGATTATTAAGTTCAACTAATTCAAATTATTAAAACATCTAAAATACAAATATGTATTTTTAAAATTAATTCTAAGTTCATCTCATCTCTCTTAAAAGTTGCTACTTCTCAAAATTTCCCATTAAAAAATAGACCATATACCATATGAAATTAAATAATTGAAAGATCGGACTACGGAAAACCACACAAATTTTCGGAAAAATTTTGACCACCTGCACATGCACACAAATCGTCAATAAATAAAATTAAAAAATAATTACTATTTTAGTATTTTAACTATTTTAATAAACGCAAAAATAGCACAGTATTTATACGGCGAAGTTATAAAAATTTGGAAGAACTAATAATGCACTGACGCATAAAAAAATCAAACGAATACTAAATTTCATTTATCAAAAGCATTCGATAGGTAGTCGTGGCTCAACGATAACCATTTAGTCGCACGGCGAGGTTGTCACATATGCTTTAGTATACAAATGAATGAATGATTTTATTCGAATAAAACCATTCGATAGTTGAAATCATTCATTCATTAACCATTCGATAGGCTAATTCATTCGATAGTTCCCATCGCTAATAAAAAGTAAAGTGTATAGCACTCCATCCGCCTCATTAGAAGACCTGCAAAGACGAATTATTGATGTTTGTCGCGAAGTGACCCCGCAAGTTCTTCAGAATGTTCTAGAACGGATTGAAAATAATTTGTTTTACTGTATGGAGGTTGACGGGCAACATTTTCAGCATTTGCTTCATTAGTAAGATAAGTTTTTTTTAATTAATTCAATTTTTGCGTTTTTTGCAAAAAGTACTTTTCAAATTTCAATCTTTCATATTTTCAAAATGACCCGACCGATTTTTAAAAACGAAGTGGGGAAATATAGAGAATAGAAAGCCCTTTTCATTGAGACGCCACTTGACCCCCCTTCCCATTTGAAAAAAATTGGGGGATGTCACCCTCGCTTAGAAGGTTGAAGATTTTGCAATAATTTTTGGGGCAAAAGTTGTCCCCCTCACAAACAAAATTGATGTGTTTTTGGATTTTTTGAAAAAAAAAATACCCTGGCTGTTATGCCTTGCGGAACGTTTTCGATGGGCCACCCTGTATATTCATAGAAACTTTGCTTTTATTTGCTTGGTACACTATTTTGTTACACCCTGAATATGTCATTTATTAAAAATAATTTCATAAACCATTGTGATGACATTTTTTTATCAATTTCACTAGTATTGTCAGTGTAAAAACCCGCAGTTAGATACCTCTGCGCTTGAGCTTGGACATATCAGGCTGACTCTTGCTCATCTCCACATCATCGTCCCTAAACTTGTTCAGATGATCAATGAATTCTCTCTTGTACATCACACCATCTGTATCGCTGAGATCGGGCTGGGACACGCTTCTTCTCGACTGCGGTCTGGGGTACCTCGCCCTTGGTTTGACCAGTTTTTGAGGGGGTGGACTTCGTACAGGTTCTGGCGATGACGAGTCCAGAGAGTAAGAAGATTCACGGTCTGGGGTGGCTGTGGAGACGCTGGCATCGTCTCCCCAGTTCACTTCGGCTACTACTGGAGCAAACGTCACACCTGGAATAAAATTAAGAGATATTTAAAATAATTTTCTCACACAGTAATTGGTATTGATTGTAGTCTTTTTTAAACAGTCCATTTTATGTATTGTGTTTTTTCCGAGCAATAATGATTAGAGTCTTTAAGAGTCCATTAACAGTAGCAAAATAAGCGTTAGGAATTTAACGTTTTTTATAAAACTGGCTAGGTATTTTTACACAAATGAAGAAGGATTAATGATAAAAGATTATACTATATCCATATTGTATCACATTTTTAGACAACTTCTTTATTTTTAAGATTTTGATGGTCAAACGTCAACGAAATATTCCTTATGTTTGGACTAAATTTTCTCGAAAATAAAGACATAATTTAAAATTCTGTTACAATACGGAAATAGATTGAAGTTTTGTGATTACTGTGATATATAGTTGATATGGTTTTGTAATAAGTTGCTCGCTATTTTATTGCAAATGCTGAAGCTCTGCAAACCTTAATCAAGCCTTAATTAAAGCAAGTGTGTTTGGAATTTGTGGGTGTGGCTTAACACGACAGGATCGGGCTAAGCCTTAGGGCAGATTTCTGAAATATAATATATATTTCCATCGGCCACACACCCGCTTTTCGCGACCCTTGAGAGCGACCTGAAAGTACAACGTAATAGATTCTTAAAAATCTGCACTTCGCAGCTACTAAGAAATATACGGGTTAATACGACTCTATAGTCGGTTTGCCATGTTTTGCCTTCTGCAAGTTAGTGCTGCATTGTTGCAGAAAAATTAAAGACAATTAGCAGCACAGCTCATTCACAATCAACAACAGTTTGTTGACTGAAACTGTCAGATATCAGATAAAAAGTTCTGTCAAAAAAGTTACTGATATTCTTAAAATTGAGTGCCTGAACGAATCAGATACTTTTAGTGAAATAGAAAAGGAAAATAATAAAACAAGTGACGGTTCTTCCTCTTCTTGCAAAAATCAACACAAAATGTCATAATTGTCAAAAGTAAAATGTCATCACTTCCCCTAGGAGATGCAAGACCTTGTCGTTGGTGGTAAAGCTCCTGGTCAGGTGCTGGGTGGAATCCCCTCTAGCACTTGGCTTGGTCTAAGAAGCATCTCACTCATCGTCTTGTCCCTAACTGTAGTTTCGTGGCCAGGGAATTGCACCAAGACATATAACGATACCGGGCGGGGCTACGGACAGCCTCAACCTTGGGGCACCGGGGGGCACCCCATTGTATTTTACCCCTTACTTCTACATGCGGGGCTCTGTAGAAGTGGACCAACTGTCCCTAGCGACTCATAGGAACACTATGAGATCTGGTAATAATAGTAATAAAAAACGTCACCGGTGAAGCTGTGGGGAAACCCCCTAGCAACACTGGGAACAGTAACAATGAAAGTTCCAAGGGGCCAAACCCAAAGAGAACTACAGGAGAGGTGGCTGACACTTGCGTGAGACCATCCTCCGCAAGTGGCATACAAGCTACCACCTCCTCCAAGGGTCGGGAGCCTACCTCCTACCTCTAAACCCAACAGGCGACACAAGCTACCGTTTCGTCTACCCGGCCTGGGTCGTAGCTCCTCGACTGTGAGGGACACGGGTCTCCGTAGGAAGTCCTGGGACTGTATGATGAGTTATAACTCAAGAAAGGGGGACACAATAGATCTCTAAGGTCGCAGAGATTAACCCCCCTCCCACTTATTCTAAATTCTAAAATTCTAAAATGTCATCAACTTTTGACATTTCTAAATATAAGACCAATGCCGTCTCTAATAGAACAGCCTCGGAGCGAGATTTATGACGTCACGCTAGTTAGATACTACGGATTAATAAATATGTTGTAGAATACATGAAAAACATAATTATTCCTCGTATTTTTGGTATGTATTTTAAAAATGATATAGTTTACATGAAATATACATAATATACAGTTAATACATATTTATAGTAATATATACACCAGATATATATTATATATAATATATACACCAGATATACATATTTATAGTAATAAATAATTTGGCAAATAAACTATGAACCATACAAATGCAGCAGATGTTTTACAATATACAAATATGTGGTCATCTTTTGACAAGTTTATATTAATTTATTCATTGCAGTAAACATTATGTGGTGTTAGGTTAGGTAGGAATATTTTATATGTAATTTTTTGAATTATATTCGACACTATTTTTTTCATATGACACAAGACTGATAAAGGCTATAATATTAGCCGAAACGTTTTTTTTAAACCAAAAAAAAATGAAAAACCAAATGAAAACTTAATCAGCGTTTTTCCCGAACCTAAATCCCAAGAAAATCAAAAATCTTAGAATAATTTTACATATAAAATGACAGCGATCTTTATTTCATAGCCATCGTTGACGCCTTTTTTTCTATGATATTGTATTATTTGCAAATATAGTTTTTCGAGCATTGATACTTGCAAAATATACATATAAATTTTGTAAATGCAAATAATAATACGTCACTATGTAGATATTGAATGTTTTCTGTTAAATTAGATCGATTTTCAAACCCCAAAATTTAAAATATATTTTACATTTTACCCATTATCTTATGTACCTACCTATTAATTATTTGTACATTGTAAAAAATTTGCTGCATTTGTATAGTTCATAGTTTATTTGCCATAGTATTTATTACTATAAATAGGTATATATATTGTATTTATTAACTGTATATTATGTATATTTCATGTAAACGAAAATCTAGGAACTAGTGGGGTCAGTGGCGCATCTAGAGTTTGAGTCTGGGAGATGTAGTGTGAATATTCAAAAAAGTACTAAATTTGAATTACATTTTTGCTGGAAAGTATTGTAACTGTGGAAAAAATCTACTTGGATTGGTTTGGATATTCTGTTTTAATTTGTATTATTAACTTTTTTGTAACAATTTTATTTTATACCAAATTTGATTTTATTAATTAATTTCTTTCTGGGAGGGGTAATTGTATAGGGCTTGTTTCTCTCTACAATTTCCTGTTTCACAATGTACTGTTTGTGTCCGGGAAGGGTTCATAGTTTCATAGTTGTCGATTTTCGAAAGAAATCAGTACATGTATATTATTTCCTATATTTTTCATTTTATTGATTTTATGGAAAGCACTGTTCATTTAAATGTTGTATCCTATGTTATAGGGCTCGTTTCTCTCTACAATTTCCTGTCTCACAATGTACCGTTTGTGTCCGGGAAGGGATCATAGTTTCATCGTTGTCTATTTTTGAAAGAAATCAGAACATGTATATTATTTCGTATATTTTTCATTTTACTGATTTTATGGAAAGAACTGTTCATTAAAATGTTGTATCCTACGTTATAGGGCTTGTTTCTCTCTACAATTTCCTGTTTCACAATGTACCGTTTGTATCGGGGAAGGGATCATAGTTTCATAGTTGCCGATTTTCGAAAGAAATCAGTTCATGTATATTATTTCGTATATTATTCATTTTATTGATTTTATGGAAAGCACTGTTCATTAAAATGTTATATCCTATGTTATAGGGCTTGTTTCTCTCTACAATTTCCTGTCTCACAATGTACCGTTTGTGTCCGGGAAGGGTTCATAGTTTCATAGTTGTCGATTTTCGAAAGTAATAATTAAAATAAATTAATTTCTTTCTGGGAGGGGTAATTACCCCCATTACCCCTCCCGTATATGCGCCCCTGAGTGGGGTTGGGAAATGATGTTACGAATCTTCAACAGGAAATTATCCAAAATGAGAACGAAATAAAGCTTCTATGTTGGTCTTTGACTGATTGTTCTACATAACGGCCTCTATATTTTTACATGTTTATGTATTAAGTACTAAAAACGTAACGATGAGTTTAAGAGGATATAAAACAGAAAACTAATCAATGTTTATTTCGTTTTAATGATCTACAATTTCAAGATGGACGGTTAAAATAATAATAAACCTTGTTGTAACTACCTCCTACACGTTTTTCTTAAATATCTCCAAAATTCAGGCATTATTAACAAAATTTTACTCCTAATATTCAAATGAAATCAGTTATATTTGATGTCAGTTAAACAAAGCAATTCATTGTTGCCAACCATGGACATATTCGGCGCCGGACTGACCAACTGGAATTTAAATTTCGCGCTGGGGATTCAGGTGGTAGCTCTGCTATAAAAAATGTCAAGTTGCCACATTTATTTATTTATATTTTCTGACATTGTCATTGCAGTCGAACAGTGTTCATTTTAGAACCTCTTAAGTGTACAAGATAGCTTAATAGCCGTAAAAAACTCATCGCAACTTTATTAAAATATTTTGACCGGGAAAGCTTGTTTCCTAAAATATCTGGATTAAAAGAAAATATGTAAAAGTGAGCAACGCTGTGCCGGTCAAGCTTAATCACGTGACTAAAAGTTTAATTGGTATGAACTATAGTTATTTAATTTCAGTTGTTTTTTAATTTAAGTATGAATTATACAGAGGCGAGTCTTAAATAAGTGCAAATACTTTCAGGGCTGGTAGATCTCGATAAAATAAACATTTTTTCTCTTTACCGTTTTTCAAATAAGTCCAAAATAACTGAGTTATTCAAAGAAGAAAAATTAAAAAAAAATATATTTATTTTTAAAAAATTTTGAAAGCCACCGGATTCTTTCTGTATTGATGTATAGGGTGGGTCAAATTCGACGCTTTTAAATGGAAACACCCTTTTCTATAGGAGATAGACGAAAACTAATATCGGTGTCTGGAGCTCAATTTTCATCAAAAACATGATGGTGAAAACCGCACATCAATATCTGTTACCGTTTCGGAGTTACGGGGTCTTTTTCAAAAATGTGCATTTTTAACAAATCCCTGTAACTTTTTTGCTATGGAAAATTTTGTATTTCTATGAAAACAATTCCAAAGCACCTTTTTACGTAGAATTTAATGGTTTAAGTATAATTTTTTTTAAATTAATAATTTAAGAGTTATCAACAGAAAAATTGATTTTTTATTTGGAACACCCTCTATATTTTTAATTAACTGAAAAGAATTTAAAATTACCTTTCCAAAAATATAGCACACTTGATATTTTGTTATAATCCCCTTCGAAATACAGAATTTTTAAAAGTTCGCCACTTTTAACTAGTAGGATTTGGACCCCGTATTGCCCTTAATGGAACTCGAAAACATATTTCCAGCAAAATGACGCACCGCCTCTGAATGCTGAAGTTATCAGCAAATTTTTGCAGCCAATTTCAAGAATAATTGAATAGTTAACCAAGATCCCAGCCGTTGGCCGTCGAGGCTGCCTGACTTAGTGCCCACGGATCTAATCCTATGGATATATTTGCGGAAGAATAAAGGTTTCTTATTCTTCCGTATAATCTAGAAAAGAATTAGAAATACTTAGCAGTTATGAGAGGGTATCTTTCACCCCTACTGAGTTAATGAATTCCGGGAGAAATGTTCAAAAACTGCCCCGTCTGTCCATAACAGAAGACGGTCGATATGTCGAACATCTATAGCAAAATCTCATGTCTTGGTTTGCTATTTATTTTTATTGTTATTAGATATAGTTTAAATGTGTTGATGTTGGTTAAATATATTTTAAATTGTTATAAAATTCTGCATCTCTTATAGCAAATATTATTTTCGTTTTAATTGATGCTGGAATTTTTTTGCATTACAGCCGGTGCCGTTCAAAGCCTACTTTATTTATACTCTATATCTCGAAGACGAATCGAGCAAAATATCAAGTGTGTTATATTTTTGGAAAGGTAATTTTAAATAATAAAAAAACTAATATTTTCAATAAATTAAAAATATACAGGGTGTCCCATATAAAAAATCAAATTTTCTGTTGATAATTCTTAAATTATTAATTTTAAAAACATTATACTTAAACCATTAAATTCTACGTAAAAAAGTGCTTTGGAAATGTTTTCATAAAAATACAAAATTTTCCATACCAAAAAAGTTACAGCGATTGATTAAAAATGCATATTTTTGAAAAACACCCCGTAACTCCGAAACGGTAACAGATATCGATATGCGGTTTTCACCATCATGTTTTTGACAAAAATTGAGCTCCAGACACCGATATTAGCTTTTGTCTATCTCCTATAGAAAGGGGTGTTTCCATTTAAAAGCGTCGAATTTCGACCCACCCTGTACCTACCTTTTAGTTCCGTAACCATAGTAATATCAGAGATTAAGAAATTATAATTACTGTAATAAAATGCATGTGACGAAGAAGTAAAGGCGAGAATTGAAATGGCACGTAGAACATTCAAAAAATGGAATCACTACGTTGTTACATTTTACATATGGTCCACTCTTCTTTACGAATGCGAGACATGGAGGATAAAAGTCGAGAATATAAATAAAATAGAAGCCTCTGAAATGTGGTGCTACCGGAGAATCCTTAAGATTTCTTGGACCGAACATACAAGCAACGAAGAAGTTCTTGGATAGCTAAACAAAGATCGGAAAATATTAACCACCATCAAAGCCAGAAAGGTTAGCAACTTCGGACACATAATGCGTGGCACCAAATATTATATTCCTCGTTTGATCATTCAAGGAAAAGTCGAAGGTAGAAAAAAGGTATAGGTCGAAAGAAACTATCATGGCTGGGAAATATACGGAGCTGGACCGGTCTGGGGGTGGAGAACCTCTTTCGTGCAGTAGAAGATAGAGAACTCTTCAACGAAATAGTCATGGAGATCGCAAACGCCTGAAGACAGGCACGGCAACGCAAGAAGCAGAAGAAATTATACAGTGGGAAAATTTGCGGTGAACAGGCAGTTCCAAAAAGTTTTCTAAAATATTCAAGAAAATGAACGATTTTTATTTTTTTGCGAAAAAAAAATACGTCATAGACGTGTTCCTGGGATCGAAATACACCACCCCTAAATATGTATAATACGTTTAAGAAAAATTGGGTTATTTTTTCACGGCAATTTATTTTTTAAAATCGCTGTCCTCATTTTGAAAAAAAAACAACCAGCAAGATCGAACTAATAAAAATAACGTTGCATCTGCCCGCCGTTCCAACATTCTTATATCTCTTAGATTCCACACTCCGAAAATACCCGTTTTGCACGAAATGTCACATATTTTCCCAAAACCAGGCACCGTGCCAACACAGTCTCGACGCATCCGGTATATCGGAGACAACTCCCACCTTGTTTTCTTTAATCGACACCAATCAAAAAAAAATCCAAAATTAACTCTAATTCGCCAGATTTTTTTTTATTTATCTTACCTTTACTTCCGGTACTTCCCGTAAAACTCTTTACGGAGTTCCTCAATGTCTTGTCATCTATGTCGCTCATTCCCGAAGTACTCGTGCTGCTTTTGATGATGGAACCCTTTCTTCTCATGACAACCTCGGTCTCGTCATTGCTCGTATCGAGAAGAATGTTTTTGTTACGTTCTTCTTCCAGTCTGGATGTGGTTCGGATATCCAGGTTGCTTCTTCCTCGTTCCCTGTCCTCAAACAATGCGGTTTTGTCCCGTTTACGAGCTGGTTCAAACCGGTTTAAGTCAGGCGTACTCTTTGCCACGTTGTAGTTTCCTAATTTGGTAGCAGGGGCATATTCCTCGTTGTCCAGTCTAGCCTGAGAACCTCGCAAGCTTATGGTGCTTCCCATCAGGCTTTGAAGGGACTGTTCTGAGATGGCTTTGAGGACTCTTCTGTCAAAATCGACTATGGGTGATTTGGGGAGCTTCTTTTTGAAAACTAAAGAGTTCTCATCGTCGCTCAGGTCGACGCGGTTACGCATAGCTTCCGAGTACGACCCTTCGCGCCTGTAGTTCGCCATTTCTTCTTCCGGAACGTTACTGTCTTCACTCACTTTAATTCTATCACTACTAAATTCACTATCTTTGACATCCTTCTCCCAGATATCCGCCAAGTTCCAGTTGTTCTCGGCTACAGATTTTGTGCTGAGACGTCTCCTACTGATGCTGCCCAGGAAGTTGAGGTCTTTAGGCAGGCTGAATATGTCGACTACTGGTTCGAGTTTGGTGAGTTCGTTTTGGCAGAGGTTGGGGGCGCTCGAGGCGTGAATTACGGTGTCGATGTTATAATTAGAACATGGCGAGACGGCAGAGACGACGTCTAAATTTACTTTACTGGAATTGGTGACGGGGCGGTGATCGCTGAGAGTGAAATCCGCGTTGAGGAGCTGACGGGCTTGTTTTCGGCGAAGGAAAACGTCGGTTAGGGGTGACGATTTGCTGAGGGGTTCGCTGAAAGGGTCGTAGCGCTCGAAGATGGAGAGATCTTGGTAGGAGACGCCGAAGTTTCCATGAAAATTCTGAAAAGAAAATTAAATTTAGTGTTTTTTAGTTTTCCGAACTGGTATTCCGGAAACTTTGACAGATAAAAATAAGTAAAAAAGTTCGTATAAATGTACGTTCTAAAATGCTTACTTTCGGAGATACAGGGTGTAGAAGTTTTATTTTTATTTCGATTTTTTTCAAATCATTTCTGAAGTAACGTCAATATTTCGATGAAAATTGGTGTTTGGGAGTTTTTTGACTTGAGAAATTTGATTTTGAATTTGTCAATATGACTCCGACTTGTAGAGGGCGCCACCTACATATTTTTTTAACTGTTTTGAAGAGTAATAACTTTTCGTCCGTACCTGAATAAAACTACTGGGTGAAAAAATATAAATTTCCGTGATTTTTTACGTAAAAAATGTTTCTTGACTTTTGAAGATATTTAAAATGGAAATAGTCAATACATGTCAATATTGACAAAAAATAAACATGTTGGGTAGATAGTTATTTCACTGACATGATAAATTTAGTAACTTTTTATTTTTTTTTAAATTAATCATAGATAAAACAGGTTCTGTTGAATTTTTGGTACAAGAACATTTCAAATTTATGATTTCAGTCCAATAACTATTTAGTCAACGTGTTTAATTTATGTCATTGATGATAGGTGTTGATATTGAAAATGTCATTTTCTACAAAGAAAGTAAAAAATACCTAGTGTGTCATTTAAAAACTAAAAGTTAGTCAATTCCGGTGAAACAGGAAGTGACGAAAACAATTGAATACGTCAGTCAATCCTATCAAATTTCGTTTTTTTTATCTTAAAAAATAAAAAAGTTGTTAGAGGTGGGCCACTTTTGAAAAACACGCGGTATACAAGATTATTGTTTTCTATTTACCTGAAAAACATCACAATCGTAAGCATTGAACCCAACGTAGCTGTTCTTCTTCCCTCTAGACTTAACCATATCTCCGATCCTCCCTGTCATGTTTTTCCTCTTATCCGCTAAATTTCCCGCACTGTTACTCAAATTTCCCGCTTTCCCGTAGAGCATTTGGTCGCCGTATCCGCTGTCTTCGCTCAGGTTCTCGCTGGAAAATCGTTTTCCCGCTGAGCAATGACCGTTGGTCAGTGGCAAGCTGTCAAAACTTCTCCAAGTTTTCAGATTGTCGCAGGACCTGAAAAAAAATGGATTATCTATGAATTTAGCAACTTCAATTTGACTTCTTTAGCTCATTACAGTACACTTATCTTTCTATAATACAAGTTTTTTAATGTTTGAAGAAGTTTTACTTTGTTTACTTCATCTACAAAATAAATATTTATCTTTCAAAGGTTTCTCTTTATTTTAGACAACAAAATCTGTGAGCCCTACTCTATGTGATAATTCTTATGAAGTATAGTATATTTTCTTACCTGGAAGTATCAAAAATAGTGTCAGAATCACTAGATTCACTGCCGCTATACCTGGTGGATGCGTTGTAGAGCAAGGAGTCTCTGCTCGAACTCTGCTTGGAGCTAAAAAAGAAAAACCTTCATCAAAATAGATACTACAAATTTTTGGATTTTGGTCCGGTCACCAATTTTGAAGAACTAATATTATTTACTAACTAAAAGGCGTAAGAGTTCATTATAAGTGGTATGTAAAATTTTAACTGCCATGAAAAATAATTCGAAAACAAGGCTCGAATAGTTCAATTTCTAACAAAACCAAAACAAATAAGCCGACATATCGTTATATATTCTAAATCTACATAAAATTTCCTACAAATACTGAAATTTTCATAAATTTAACACCATGTTTACTATGTTTCTAAGAGCCTTGAAAACTTAAAAAAAAAATTGGCGCCGGGAGGCACGTATAACCGCCCATACTAAAATATGTTAATAACAAGTTGGTAGGCAGTTCTTTAATTTCAATTATCTCAAAAACTGCGACTTTGATTGATTTTGATGTTATTACAAATTTGGTTGCAAATATTATTCCTAACCTTAAATTGAAAACCGCGTTTCGCTAGCTACTGTAATTTTGGAGTTACGATTTTTTAAAAATGTTAACCCCCTCCCATACCCCCTTACCAACCCCCCACCCCCACCAAAAACTAATGGCCAGATTCTCGGGTGCCACAGTATTTTTGTGTTTCTGTCTCACAATGTACCGTTTGTGTCCAGGAAGGGTTCATATTTTCATAGTTGTCGATTTTCGAAAGAAATCAGTACATTTATTTTATTTCGTATATTTTTCATTTTATTGATTTTATGGAAAGTACTGTTCATTAAAATGTTGTATCCTATGTTATAGGGCTTGTTTCTCTCTACAATTTCCCGTCTCACAATGTACCGTTTGTCCAGGAAGGGTTCATAGTTTCATAGATGTCGATTTTCGAGAGAAATCAGAACATGTATATTATTTCGTATATTTTTCATTTTATTGATTTTATGGAAAGCAATGTTCATTAAAATATTGTATCCTATGTTATAGGGCTTGTTTCTCTCTAGAATTTCCTGTCTCACAATGTACCGTTTGTGTCCAGGAAGGGTTCATATTTTCATAGTTGTCGATTTTCGAAAGAAATCGGTACATTTATTTTATTTCGTACATTTTTCATTTCATTGATTTTATGGAAAGAACTGTTCATTAAAATGTTGTATCCTACGTTATAGGGCTTGTTTCTTCTCTACAATTTCCTGTCTCACAATGTACCGTTTGTGTCCAGGAAGGGTTCATATTTTCATAGTTGTCGATTTTCGAAAGAAATCGGTACATTTATTTTATTTCGTACATTTTTCATTTCATTGATTTTATGGAAAGAACTGTTCATTAAAATGTTGTATCCTACGTTATAGGGCTTGTTTCTTCTACAATTTCCTGTCTCACAATGTACCGTTTGTGTCCAGGAAGGGTTCATATTTTCATAGATGTCGATTTTCGAGAGAAATCAGTACATTTATTTTATTTCGTATATTTTCCATTTTATTGATTTTATGGAAAGCACTGTTCATTAAAATGTTGTATCTTATGTTATAGGGCTTGTTTCTCTCTACAATTTCCTGTCTCACAATGTACCGTTTGTGTCCAGGAAGGGTTCATATTTTCATAGATGTCGATTTTTGAAAGAAATCGGTACATTTATTTTATTTCGTACATTTTTCATTTTATTGATTTTATGGAAAGAACTGTTCATTAAAATGTTGTATCCTACGTTATAGGGCTTGTTTCTCTCTACAATTTCCTGTCTCACAATGTACCGTTTGTGTCCAGGAAGGGTTCATATTTTCATAGTTGTCGATTTTCGAAAGAAATCGGTACATTTATTTTATTTCGTACATTTTTCATTTCATTGATTTTATGGAAAGAACTGTTCATTAAAATGTTGTATCCTACGTTATAGGGCTTGTTTCTCTCTACAATTTCCTGTCTCACAATGTACCGTTTGTGTGTCCAGGAAGGGTTCATATTTTCATAGTTGTCGATTTTCGAAAGAAATCGGTACATTTATTTTATTTCGTACATTTTTCATTTCATTGATTTTATGGAAAGAACTGTTCATTAAAATGTTGTATCCTACGTTATAGGGCTTGTTTCTCTCTACAATTTCCTGTCTCACAATGTACCGTTTGTGTCCAGGAAGGGTTCATATTTTCATAGTTGTCGATTTTCGAAAGAAATCGGTACATTTATTTTATTTCGTACATTTTTCATTTTATTGATTTTATGGAAAGCACTGTTCATTAAAATGTTGTATCCTATGTTATAGGGCTTGTTTCTCTCTACAATTTCCTGTCTCACAATGTACCGTTTGTGTCCAGGAAGGGTTCATATTTTCATAGTTGTCGATTTTCGAAAGAAATCGGTACATTTATTTTATTTCGTACATTTTTCATTTTATTGATTTTATGGAAAGAACTGTTCATTAAAATGTTGTATCCTACGTTATAGGGCTTGTTTCTCTCTACAATTTCCTGTCTCACAATGTACCGTTTGTGTCCAGAAAGGGTTCATAGTTTCATAGATGTCGATTTTCGAGAGAAATCAGAACATGTATATTATTTCGTATATTTTTCATTTTATTGATTTTATGGAAAGCACTGTTCATTAAAATGTTGCATCCTATGTTATAGGGCTTGTTTCTCTTCGTGTTACAGACAGACGGAGAGACAGACAGACACCATGAAAATATTTTGTATTTAGGTCATTTATGACCCAAATAACCCATTTTGAGTGAAATTAAAAAAACTTTTTTTTTGTCGATTAAGGCTATTAAGGCCTACCATACCTCTTGGTATGGTCGGCTAATAACCAAAAATGGTCAATTTTTCGACTTGTTTCCAAATATTTTTTTTATATATTCTAAATCTACATAAAATTTCCTGCAAATACTGAAATTTTCATAATAAATGTTTACTTTATTTCTTAACCAAAAAATGCAATAATGTACAGAGTGTTCCATTTAAAAAAACCAACCCCATCCACTCACACTTTCCTGAGCCACCCTGTAGAAGTTAAGATGTTTTCCTGAAATAGGCCCTAGTAAATACTTTAGATATATGCACTTTAAACTTAAACAAAATTTAAAGACCAGATCATTTATCAATATTTTACCAAAGAAATAAATTCGCAACATTATTCCATAGCATTAAAATAAAAATATCTCTAAGCTCAGGCTCATGGATCAGCAAAACCACCAGTTGCAAGCAAAGGGCAGATACAACGTGTTATTGCTGAAGTGTCAGTGAGTTCGTCTTTATTCAATTCCGCACTTACTTCACTACATTTTTGAAGAAATCTCCCTCGTACTCAGGACTGGAGTCCTCCAGGCAGTACTGCTTCTTCCCCAACTCGAGCGAATCAAAGGAGAATTGCGAGAAAATACTCGGCGACTGGCTTTCTTGCTGGAACTGCTTTTCCAAAGTCTCGAATTGCAGCAAACTGCTCGATCGACTCAAGGACGTCGGTTCTTCGTACTCCTCACACGCAAAAGACAGAAATAGGTCTTGTTTTCTTCGTTTCGGAGGACATGCAAGCTCGCGATCCGAATCACAGTCCGCATCATCTAGAAAACATCACCCAGTATTAGTAATTATTCGTTAAAAAACGTAAAAAGGACATTACAATTAACAAAACTCGAAAACGACAAATCTTGTGATGTAATGAGTGCAGTAGTAATACTGGTGCATTAGTAAACGGACAACACAAAACTAACCGATTACTTATTATCAAGCCTTTGCCAAGTTTACACTGTGTGTGACGCTTTCAACGGAGTTTCTTTGTGTACAACAGGAAAGTAAAAATAGAAAAAAAATTGTTTAGATTTGTCTACCTCTCACTATTTGATTATAGTTACAGCGAAGGTTTTTGCGGTTTAGTATTTCTTTTAAGCGAATCAAAAAATCAGCCTTAACCCTAATCTATCGTTGTAATTTAAATTTTTGAATATTTTGGCGCGCGGATTGTTTTTTTTGGCTTGAAAACAATGTACGATATTACAAAGGATGTTTTTTTTGCCTTATGTAATTATATAAATCATGTGCTTGATAAGTTTTTGTGTATGTTCGTTTATCTCTGTCGAGAAACGACTTTGTTGCTAAAAATAAAGTGAAATGTTAGTTTTAGTACGATTTATAATTGTTCAGTGTAGGAATGTTGGATTATATCGATTATTTTTAAGAGAGGAATCGATGTTGTTCGATAAATCGATATTTTTTTAAACCATTACTACACCAGAAATTATTTTTATTAGATTCGCTTTGAACATTGACATTACAAGGGTGCAAGGGGGTACGGTGCCCACACAATGTATTGTTGGGACCCCCCAGAAAAATCTTGTATTTTGACTAAAATATGACTCTTGGCTAAATAATAATTTTTATATGCTTCTGATGTAGTAAAAATTACTTTTTCGAGGTTTTTTTTAGTTAATATTATTTTGTTTGGTTCAAAAATGTGTGTTAGTTTTTATTTTTTTTTTAAAATTTGTGGGGATTACTTAAATAACTATTTAAGTAATCCACAGAACCACGGGTTGATAACCAATATATCAAATTTATTGATAGAGAAATTCATGTAAAATGTTTTATTCAAAAAAATATGTTTTTTTTTCAAACGTCACAAAAGTCTTAATTTTTACGACACGATTGAAAATATAAAAAATCATTTTAACGCCTAGGCATAAAAGTAAAGCACTTTTACGCCTTATCAGGGGCGGGAAAGTGAAATAGCAAAAGCGGTTCCACCGTTTCCACGGAAATCTCAAATAAAATAGTTCCAGCCCTAGCCACTAGGTGGTAGTGCAATTAATTTTTAGGTTAAGAAGTTGCTACTAGTTATTGCCAGATGGCGTTAAATCAGAATTTTTTTGTAGTTTCCATAGTTTCCAACGGCCATTGTCATATTATTGTCAAATTCTCAAAAAATATTGTCGTTGTCATAGCGCCAATCATAATATTATCAAATAAAATGATTATCAAAACGTTTTTCAAACTATAATTTGTTATATGTGTTTTAATTAGACAATTCCTTTTGTTTGTGGCCCTAAAAATATAATGTAAGTCTTTTATTTTTGCCATCATTTAAGTACCTATTTATATTTACTCCATTTACAAAACTTTGAGCGTATTACGTTGGTCTTGTTTTATTATAATAAACGATGTTTAAATATTTGACTTATAAATAAAAACTTTAAATAATAAATAATATTTCACATGTTTGGCTTTAATTTTATTTAATAATTGTATAAATTATACTGTTAAATCTTATTTTTTACACATCACAACGATACGATTGTTATTAGTATTGTTGAATTTGTGTAAAAAATAAGACTCAACAATCAAATTTAATTATTTTAGAGTAAAATTCAATAAATACGCTCATTTAAAAAGCCCGCGCTTCGATCCATTTAAAACAAGCCCTACTCAATAGATGGCGCCACTCCTGTAGAACCATTTTTCAGTATGGCAGAGTCCATTCTTTTTCTAGCTAGGTATATTCTTTGCGCCTTATTAAACTGACACAAATTGTCAAATTCAACGAACGTAACCATAGTTTCTCGATCTCGGTATATAATTACATACAAGGTATTACCCTTGATTATGTATTATATAAACAAGGGTATTACTTTTAAGCCTTTTTATATTACTTGAAACGTTTGAACTCGTTTTAAAATTATTTGTGGCGTTTGAAAAAAATAGCATGTTATATTCGGAGTAAAAATGACTTTTTGTACTTCACCTGTATGTGTATCGCCACAAAAAGTGTGATTTTTACTCGTTATAAAACAATATACTATTATTTTTTAATATTACTATTATTTAACTACATCTTATAATTGAATTTATTTTATTAGGCTATATTAAATCAACTTTTATACAGGATGAGTCTTAAATAAGTTAAAGTAAATATTTTTAGTTATCGTATATTTCGACCTCAACAACGCGTCTGTTGAAAATTGTGCATTTTTTTATTTTTCTTGTATATTTTCGAAAACTTTTTAGAACCGCCTGACCGCCGCATATTTTCTCACGGTATAATTTCTTAATCTCTGATATCACCATTAGGCACTAAAAGGGATGCAAATATGTACAGAAAAAATTCGGTGGCTCTCAAATTTTTTTAAAAATAAATAAGATATTTTAAAAAATGTCAAACTTGAACCACTCAGTTATTTTAGACTTATTTGAAAAAGATAGAGAGAAAATTTGTGCTTATTCAAGACTCACCCTGTATAGTTGCCACGTCCATAATTTAATGTAAAATCATTCATTTAATACCAGGCTATATTTTTAAAGAAAAAAAAACTATAATGACAGATGTGTCTTTTCAATGACAGCGTTTAACTTATTAATATTTTTATAATATTAATTTTAACCTAGACGTGAATGTATATTTTTTAAGATTTTTTTAGAAAAAGATGTAGGTAACCTATATGTAAAATTATCAGTCATCAAGAATGAAATCTTTTTTTATTATTTGTATATTTTAATTGATTTATTTTTCCATTTTGAAGGAAGGTTTGATACTAACGTCATATCAAAAAAACAATTTATGTGTTCAGCTTCCTGATATTTTTGCATTTTTTTTTCAAAATTATTAATATAAAGAGCCTTCGCCATAATGTCAACATTACTTTACTTATTTGATAACAAAGATATAAAACGTTTTAAACTTCAAGTATTGGCGTAACTAAAGGGGTGCCCGGGGGTGCCGCCCCCCCCCAAGTTCCGCTGGGCACCCCCCAGAGAAATCCTGAATTATGATTCTTGGCTACGTATTAATTTTTATTTGCTTGTGATGAAGTAAAAATGACGTTTTCTAGTTTTGTTTAGTTAATATTATTTTGTTGTGTTGAAAAAATGTGTTAATTTTTATTTTTTTAGAAAATTTGTAGGTATTTAAGTAATCTACGGGAACACGGTTTGATAACCAAGTCTATGAAATTTATTGATAGAGAAATTCATGTAAAACATTTTATTAAAAAATGTGTTTTTTTAAATTATTTATAATTTTTAAAAAAACAAAAGCCCTAGGCCCCCCCCTGGGCTCAACCCCAGGCCCATTCCAGAATAAATTGCCAGTTACGCTAATAATTTCAAGCAGCCAAAATCTACGAAAAGTGTATAAACTAAAATGGTAACAAAATAATTAAGTGCTTTTCAAAAACTGAGTGCATGATATACCTATTTTCTTGTCACTTACTTGTCAAAATTATCTATTTCCCTTGACCAGCTAAGAAAATCAGTACAAACATTTCAAAAAAATACTCTAAAAGCTATCTTTTTTTTAATAATAATTACTAGAAAAAGTTACAGTGGGTGTTCAAATTTTATCATTCACGGAGGCAGGGGCGTACCAAAATAAATTGTAGGGTTTTTAATTGTGTCTGGAATTTGTTAGTTATGTAACTAAATATACCTGCACCAAAACAGAAAAAAATCTTGTTAGAATTGCCAAGTTAAGTTAATATTCACCTTGTATACAAATGACGCTTCCTGATTCGGAATCAGTGGCCAGCCATCCCACGGGAGATGTCCTGGATCCGCTATCTGATCTTAGATCGTCCGATGTTTCTTCCTGGATGGTTTCCAGGTACATAAACTGTCCAGAGGTACCGTGAAAGAAGTACTCGGCATCTGAAATTGAAAAATGACCATGTTAAAAATAATAAACAAAGTAAATGTTGATTTTTTTGCAAGATAGAGAAAACTTTATATTTTCCGTTGACACTCCCTTAGATTTAGATAAAGATTGTTCCGCCATCGTTACGTCATCATTATTTGTTAAATATGAATTTTAGGGTGTGTCTGAGAGCATTTCATATTATTTAGAAAATTGTAAGTACGTTTCTGTATTACTGATTGAGCGATTTCCGTTTTTTTTTCGGCATTTGTTCATTTTTTCTTGAACTCTTGTTCCAATTCGTTGGACTGTTGAAATTCCTATTTCTAAAGCATCAGCAACTCGCTATATCATTTAAAAATGCTATAAATTTGTATTTTACAAAGTAATATTACACCTTTGCCTTGTACTTACTTGATATACGGCGTCCACGGGCAAAAGTGTTATACCAGCGTCTCTTTCTCGAGAAAAATCATTTATAAGCTTAGCAATGAGCTCGGGTTCATTATGATTAAATCTTTGAGGCATTTTTTCTATAAAAAAATGAAATTTGTTCACAAAACATCCCCCTTTAGAACTTCGTCTATCATGTTAAGAAATGACAGTAAATAGTAAAGCGCCTCTCGTGTTTGTTCGGGCGGTTGGTCTTTTACTCCCGCTTATGGCCATTAAAGAAAAAGTTCTAAAGGGGGATGTTTTGTGAATTTGTTTCACAACCACAATCAAAATTTAATTTTGATATTGATCGATATCCGTCAGTAAAATTATAATCCCAAATCAAATGACAATGACAGTTACTAAAAAGAATATGCAGTAATTTACGAAATGCCGTAATGACGTCACCAATCTCTTTCATCTGGTTGGCAAGTGATTGAGATAGTTCGACAATATATGACGTGACGTTGAAAGATGGCTGAATATCCTATACGGGGTGTCCCAGGAATAAGTGCAAGTATTCAACTGGTAGGATAGTTCAACGACAACAACAAAATTCGATTTTTTTTTGTTTTTAGTTAAAAAACATAATTTCTTGATAATATGGCAACACAGGTATTAGATTAAATTTACAAGAAAGAAAATCCAGAAAAGATCCAGTGGTTCTCAAAATTTTAGCAAAAAATTGGAATTTTTCAAAGTAAAATAACTCCGTTATTTTGGACTTATTTGAAAAACGCTAAAGAGAAAATATGTTTCTTTCTGTATAGCCGAAACAATCAACCATAATGTTATCTAATAGTACCTACCTTACGAAAGAAAAATCTTCAGTAACTAAACTTGGTTTCAAGTTTTAAACAATACTCGTGAACTCTGTCTATATTTTGCAACCAAAACAATGGTCAGGTACGTATTCAAGAAGAAGTACGAAGGTACCTACGTTGTAAAAACCAATTACTATTTAGTATTCCCGCACAATAACAACAGACACAGTTAAAAATATCCATTGTTATGCGTTCTCATTAAAATACAAGCTCTTCATTCAAGTTCGAGCGTGAGAAATTTGGCACATTCTCCCATATAAATATTTGCTATAAACATATTTTTCTGTTATGAAATAAATAAACAGATAACAGCAATTTTATTGATGAACGCACAGAGAATAAAAAGCAAAACAGTTCTGGTCAAAAAATAGTTTTGCCTGAAACTGTTTTCATGTGCATTTCAGGCAGGTTTAGGCTTATTTAGGCACAATCAGGCTGATCGAGGTCCAGCGGAAAAACATAATAAGCGTCAATTTATTAATTTTAGGGTTTTACAATTCTATAGGCTCGGTGCATTCTCCGCTGGTGCTGCCACCTTCAGAGAATATCGTAAACAATCGATATATACAAATACACAGGTTTAAATAGCGAGTATACGAAAAATGTATTATTTAGTTATTCTAAAAATGTTAGGAAGTATAATTTGTGAACATTCTAAGAATAAACATAAAAAAGTAAATATTTTGATATCTGCAGAATTCGCATATTCTCCCATATAAATATTTGCCATAAACATATTTTTCTGTTATGAAATAAATAAACAGATAACAGCAATTTTATTGATGGACGCACGGAGAATAAAAAGCAAAATAGTTTCAGTCAAAAAACATTTTTGCCTGAAACTGTTTTCATGTGATGCCTTAATGCAAATTAAACAAGCCGCAAGATTTCAGGCAGGTTTAGGCTTATTTAGGCACAGTCAGGCTCATTGACGTCCAGCGGAAAAACGCGATAAGCGTCAATTTCTTAATTTTAGGGTTTTACGGAAGGTCTAACTTGTATTATAATTTATTATTCCAGTTATAAACACTTTTTAGATGAGTTCAACTACGGTAGCGAGCATAGTTTTAATTACAAGTTTTGCTAGTGGGTCATAATTGGAGCTATTTCGGGTATAACCAAATTTTTTAAAGGTACATAATAATAATTTTAGAAGATGTTCGTAAAACATTTAATTTTTTTTTAGTTTCATATTATGACAAATCAACTTAGAACAAAATAATATTTTTAGTTACAATAGGTAACTCTTTTGTAGGTAAAATCTTTATATATAAACATTAAAGATAAAAAAAGATAAACGTTAAAAAAATAACATCCGTCAGGCAAATTTAAAGTGGACGACAAAGTTATTATAAATAACCTTGTTACGTCTGTAATAATGCTATTTTTTTTATCTAAAACAATAATTAGTTATCTCTATAACACAATATTTTATTCCATATCTTAATTATTGTACTAATTTTGCAATGTAATTCTAGCGATATACGGTGTAAAATATTTTCAGCCTTTAATAGTTTAATAGTTTTAAAAATCTATAATCTCGTATTGAAAAAAAAAACGGCGTCAAATTGGCTTGGTAATGACGATCGATAGAATTCCCCTTATAATTTTACATATGACAGCGACCTTTATATCCAAGCATGTGATCCAATCCAACTCTCAAAGATAGCAGACACCATATAGGTCACTATATTCAAACGATTATTTTTATTTGGTAATACCTATATTAAAAATATTTTTGTGCTCTTTAGCTTCGTGTTTTGTAGGTTTATTAAGTATAAAAAACTTAAAAACTAAAAGTAACTAAGTCAATTTCATTTCTATCTTGATTTTTGATGTCACGATATACCTAGCCTTAAACAGTTTACTCAGTATAGTTTGCGTCATATCTGCACGCACGCCAGCAGCATTTTTTCTTGTGGAAAACGTGTTTCTTGTTATTTTTCTTGACAATTAAACAGAAAAAGGAATTAAACTGTTGCAACAACGATTAGGTGGTTAATACGTGGATTCTATCGAATCTCAACATTGCCAGATTTAGTAGATTTTCAGTAGAAAACATACTTTATTATTCGTCCAAACTTCTGTAAAGATTTTTAAACTTGTGAGGGCTTGAGAGCTTTGTGTTAATGATAAAATGCATAACTGTAGGTACTATAGCATAATAATAGTAGTGTAGACAGCACAACAAATTACATTTGACGATGATAAAAATAGGTTGATATCTTAGGGCTTGTTGGCATCTGTTGTTCAGTTTTAATTTAAAAATAGATAGTTTTTCTTAAATTACTTAAAATCAGCTTGTTCAAAATTGTTCAGCAAAATTCAGCATATGCAAACCTTGAAAAATCTGTAAAAACAGGAAAGCCAATATTTGGAGAGTTCAAAATTTGCAATGCACCACCCAGTATATCTAGAGTACCTTCATTTTGTACAGTAAAATTCAAATATATTATAAGAATACTAAGGGCTGGCAAAGGTTAGTCTTGGGTCGAGATTTCCGTATGTAAGAAGAGTGCAATGCGTTTATAATGTACTGAACAAAGAGAGGACAGTAAACACGTTGCCAAACATATGAAATAAACCGAGAAACTGTGCACATCGCTAAGAGACGTGGAAGGGGATATAGCAGATTTGTCGCAGTTGACCGGTCGACCCAATCAATACCTCTGTCAGTACTTAAAGTTCTAGGGAAAGGTGTACGTCATGCGTTCAGCTTCACGATTTAATTACCTTCTCGTGATACTTAATTTGTTCATTTATTAACGAATCGTTGTAATTTTCCCTATAGCTTGAATTTTTTTAAGTGCAAGCTAGAAACACTTGCATTTTTGGTAAAAATAAGTGGAATTGAGTGGGTGTTCGATAGTGGTCGCGCTATTAGAACTCTGAATTCAAAAATCGATATCTCGAAATCTATTAGAAATAATAGATTGTAGTTTTTTTCAAGAACTTTGTTAATATTTCTGCTGTATTTTCTTTGTAGACAGTATGTGAAAATCTTTATCAATAAAAAAATTACACGATTACTGAAAATTGCTATGCTCTAAAAGTAAACGGATGGATTGTTTACAATTTTTGAATAGAAAAAACAACCTTATCGAATTTTTCTTATGTAAACATATTGTAAAATATCCGATCTGGAAAATAAAAAAAAGTTTCAATATCTAAAGCGGTTCTTGAGTTATGGCCTGTTATGTGTTAAAAAGTTGAGTTCTTAAATGATCACGATTACTGACGTTTTCTCGTTATAAAAAAATGACACCCTAACGATATCCTTATAATTCCATTTCAGAAACATGTCTAATGATTTTATCTAGTTATCTCTTGAAAAAAAAGTCTTTTAAAAATAAGCGGTTTGCAATCGTGATTTTACTTTACTTGATAGGGAAAGGCGTATCGGCAACGCCGCAACAGCACACCGTCGCGCGTCGCGTCGGTCGGTCGCATTTCTCTCACTCCGACTTAATAAAATTCTTATGCGATTTACTTCCACACATGTAAATGCCGACCCAAAAGTAACCGTTGCCAGCACGGTATATTGCTAGTACCGCATTTACACAATGAGTGGAAAGTGAAGCCAAAGAAAAGAAATAGGAATATCAATCTTGCATAAGTCTATCCTTTTGGTTCAACAGGATTTTCGTACGCACGCGCCAAATAAAACGACTGATTCGCTTCATCGCTGAACGCTGTCACCTGCCCGCGCACTATTTTAAGCTCTAAATATTAATAACGTATAATATATTATTTTT